AACGCAACGGACTGAAACCTGTTCAAATACGTAGTTTATATACCTGACCATGTGATGCCGCGGCGTTTAAATCTTTATGCACGGACTGGAGTGTCTGTCTGCAGCTAAACTCCCCGGGTCATGTTCGGCTCGTATATTGGCAAAGCACCGAGTGTAATAAATGAACTCGAAGAAATTGTACTTGCCCTCTTGAAGCCCAGTTTGACTGAAACTCGTAGTGATTGGCTGACCCTAAGCTGGAATTACTGCATCGAGCATTTCATCGTATCTTGGGTGTGAATCGTGTATGCAATGGATGGATGTACATGCGCAACGTGGAAGAGGGCTGAGTTCGGACCGAAGGCGTGGACTCTCCCGAAATTTGAATTTTGGACACACCATGCTTATCCCCTGCCGCACTAAATCGCCTCAAACCTTTTGCATTAGGTGGCAACACAACCTAGGTATATGGCGGCAGCATAGTTAGGCTGCAATACAACTACCTCGCGCAGAGGTCGGGTCGCGTGTGAAGCTCGCTCCCTGATTTTGGAGCTGCTGCATGGTCGTACGCTCTAGCTAAAGTCCAACTTTTTCACCCTACCGTGAGCAACTGGACATATAAAACATACCCTGGTGTGCCCTGATATCTTATTTGCATACCTCTTCTTAAATCTGGACAGTTTATGCCCTCGTTCGCCCTCAAGAGCCGGTGCTAGGTGTGGAGGTCTGTTGCCAAGCGAGCCGCCTGATCATAGGGTTTTCCACAAGGGGCTGCTTTCCCGTTGGAAGCGTTATTCAGGGTACATACCTTTTTTTTTTTCTGTCGTGCAGAACTGAGTCTGCTCGTCTCCCTCCAAAAGGAAAACTCCCCGTTATTTTTACCCCGGGAGCTATCCGCCGGGCGGGAAAGAGGCCATGCGTTGATTTTCTCCTCCCTCCTCCGTTTGGTGACTTTGAGGGTATTTATAGTGTGCACGGTCAGCTTTACGCCATCATCGCCGTCGTCGTGAATCGGCAATAACCCATTGAGAAAAGAAACAACGGCTCGATATTTTTTGTGGGAAAAGGGACGTCCTTATTTGTTGAAAATTGCTCACTCTCCCATCAATAGACTTGAAGTTCTAGCCCACATAGAA